GATCCAGGCCACACACAGAGACTCAAGAGCACCAAACGCGGGCAGCGAGACAGTACCATCTAGTGAGCCCGCGAACACACAGCCTTCGGCGTGCTAAGATTTTTCAATTGAATTATTATAGTATATTGTACTCATCAAGACTAGTCTTCGTCAAGACCCTGAATGACCGGTTTGAGGCTCTTCATGTTCCTAGAACGAACAGATTCCACTGGGCTACCCTAGCATGCAACAGGGACGAATGCAGATGTTACTGGCGCCCGCTTGAGGGAATCGATAAGTAACGGGAGGTCAAGTGATCATTGCACTCATTGAATTATTATAGTATCCTGTGCTCATTTTTCTTTCCTTTAGGCGGGGGGCATACCTGGTGGTGTGCAAGACTTACTCCTGACTCTGTGCTCAGGGCTCACTCTTGATGGGACCCTGTGGGTGCCAGGGATCAAACCCAGGTGGACTATGCACAAGGCAAGTGGTCTACCGGTTCTATCTCTCCAGACCCCTGTAACTATTTTTCTTTTCTACATATTTTCATTGAGATACTATGATTTATGGGCTGGAGAAGAGCACAGCGGGTAGGGTGTTTGCCTTGCACGTGTCCTACCAGGTCGACCCAAGTTTGATTTCTCTGTCCCTCTCGAAGAGCCCAATAAGCTACCAAGAGTATCTCGCCCGCATGGCAAAGCCTGGCAAGCTACCCGTGACGTATTCGATATACCAAACACGGTAACAATTGTCACAATGGAGGCGTTACTGGGCACGCTCGAGCAAATTGATGAACAACGGGAGGACAGTGACAGTGACTATGATTTATGAAGTTATTCATAACCAAGTTTTAGGCAAACAATGTTCCAGCATCAGTCCTGCCGCCAGCATGAACCTCCCTCCACTGGTGTCTCCACATTCCTCCCCCCGAAACCTCCCCAGCCTGCCTCTTTGACAGGTACCTTTGCGGGGGGGGGGGGGGTTGGTTTTTACTCCACACCCTGCAGTGCTCAAGAATTGCTTCTGGCTCTGCAGAATTACTCCTGGCGGTGCTCAGGGACCATATGGAATGCTGGGGACCGATCCCGGGTTGACTGTGTGCAAGGAAAACACCGTCCTGCTTGACAAGCACACTTTTATTTTTCATTTAAATCAGCGATAGCACAGCGGGTAGGGCGTTTGCCTTGCAAGCGGCCAACATGGCCGACCCGAGTTCGATTCCTCTGCCCCTCTCAGAGAGCCCGGCAAGCTACCGAGAGTATCTCGCCTGCATGGCAAAGCCTGGCAAGCTACTCGTGACGTATTCCATATGCCAAACACAGTAACAAGTGTCACAATGGAGATGTTACTGGGCCCGCTCGAGCAAATCGATGAACAACGGGAGGACAGTGACAGTGATTTAAATCATTATTATTATTATGATTATTATTTTGCTTTTTTGGGTCACACCCAGTGATGTTCAAGGGTTACTCCTGGCTCTGCACTCAGGAATTACCCCTGGTGGTACTCAGAGGACCATATAGGATGCCGGGGATTGAAACCAGGTTGGCTGCGGGCAAGGCAAACGCCCTCCGCGCTTGACAGGCACATTTTTCAGTTCAGTGGTTGAGTTTGGATCTCCGGCTTTCAGGGTTATTGACTCTGCGGCTTGGGTATGTAGTTCTACACCCCCAAGCCCCAGCACCACCGATGTTCCCAAGGCCCTTGACCCCATTACTCCCTAGCCATTTTTCTTATGTTCAGTTTAATTATTGCTTAATATTAATTTCTTACTGTGCCGAGTTTACGAATTAAACTTCCGCAAAGGTCAGGACACCCAGGCCCAACAGCATAAACGAGGCTCAGCGCAGTCTGCGGCTTTCAGATCTCCAGAGACAACGTGGAACGCGTCCCCACGGAGAAGGGGGACTGGCCATAATGCCTGGCCAGGGGGCGTCGGGGTGTCCATTTGCCCTTCATCTTCCCACCATCTGAGTGGCGGAAAATGGAGGTGCCCCTGCCCAGCCTCTGCCAGGCTCCGGTCTGACACTTCAGGAGGCTGGCCCTCAGCTGGCCATGCAGGTCCTGTGTGGGGGCCAGTAGTAAGGACAGAGGGGCTGGTGGGGGTCTGGCTTGGCCGCTCTCAGGTTCCCCCTCGGTGTCTGGGGGATGCGTGTCAGACGAGCGGGGAGTTTCCCTCCGGATGAATCAGCCTGTGACCTGAGCCAGTCCCTGCCAGGGCCCCTCCCCGTGGGGCGGGCGGGTGGAGCAGGGTGCCGGTGCCCTCCTGGGAAAATCCCGGCAGGCCAATGCCCGCTGCGGCTTTCTCCCGACTCAGCCGTTCTCCCATTCCAGCCCCTCCAGGCCTCCCCCGTCTCGGTCTCTGTGTGAGGCTCCCCTGCCCTGCCCCCCACAGCTCCCGGGTTGCAGTTCCAAGTTCCAACGGCCTGGCCACCCTTTATTCCCAGTGGGATGAGCTCAGGCTAGCCTAACGGTTCAGGGACCCCGCCAGCCCCCAGCGTGGGTCTTGGGGAACGTCTGGCCTGGCAGGGAGCTGGCCCCCCGCACGCCGCTGCTGGGAGATCTCTTGTCTAGGCGAGCCCTCCGTTTAGTCAGTGAAGTGGGGCTCTTGGTCTTGCCCAATCCATGTGCCTGAGAGTCAGAACTCAGCATCCTGTGCCCCTCCCCCCGTCCCCCCTCATCGTCGCCTCTTGGAGCTCAGATCAGGGTGAGCAGGCTTCCGTTCTGGGCTTGCCACTCAGTTTTGTAACCTCGAACCAAGTTTCATTCATTCACGCTCCCCGCCTCAGTGCCCTTTCCTGGCAATGGCCATCGTGAGACAATGTGGGTGGGTGGGTGTGGGTGAGACAATGGGGATGGGTGCACAGCAGCCGCTGTCCCGAGGGTCCCTGGGAAAGCCTGGGGGTGCGGCGAGGAGGCCCGCTGAGAAGGGGAACGTCGACCCTGGCCCTCAGCCTAGCCAGCAGCGTGAGTGCCGTGCAGGAGGGCGCAGGGCGCGCGTGCGGTCAAGGGTCTGGGGTTCATCATGCCCCCTGTGTGCATGCATTCATTCACTTCACTCCTTCATCCGAGGCTGTGCCAGGCACACGCTGGGCTCAGGGCAGGGCTGGGGTCAGCCTTGCACTCGTGCTGTGTACCCGTGGGAGGTGGGCGGCCGCGGGCAGGCAGGGCCAAGGCGACCCAGGGCTTGGAGCTGATGCCAAGGGGAAGAGTGCCCGGTGAGCACCAGCAGAAGGGGTGCCTGAGGGGGGATATGCCACGGGAGAGCAGACTCCACCTATGCTGTGGGGAACCCCAAAAGGCTGAGCGGGAGGGACTTCGACATGCAGAGTGAGTGGGGGCAGGATGGGCCACGGCAAGGGTTTGAGCGGTGGTGGGGACCCCCCAGCCTGGCATGATGAGGTCTGCTGTGTGGGAGGGGAGCGCAGGCTCCTGCCAGGTGACCACCTGGCTTGGGGATTCCCCAGGGCTGGGCTGAGGGGGACCAGCCCTGGGGAAGTTTGGGGTGGGGGGGCCGAGCAGCCTCGTGACTCACCCACTTCCACCCAGTCAGCCCCCTGGCATCTCCGCTCCAGATTCCAGGCTGATGAGGCTGCCGCGGGCTGAGTCAGCCCCACTCGGCACGCGAGCTGCCTCCCGGGGCTCCCTGGCAGATGCGCTGGTCTCCAGCCAAGGCTGCCGGCACGGGTTGGGGGACTGGCAGATGCCCCGGGGTTCCAGCGGCCGGTGGGGGGGAGGGCAGGTGGGTGAGGCCTGGAGTGAATGAGCAAGAGGGGGATGGAAGGACCCAGACCCCAGAAGTGGCGGCGGCACCTTCACAGAGCGACCCGGCAGGACTGTCTCCATCTTGGTCCCTCCCCCTCACCTGATGCTGCCGTGGCGGGGTGCTGGCCGGGACCCCTCTCAAGTGAGGCGCAGTTGTCACGGTCATGGTGCTCCCAGGGTGGTGCTTCCCGGCTACAGCACGCTTGTGTCTGCAGTTGGGGTGCCTGCTGGGCCATACCCCTCTGTGGGGGGTGCTCAAACCAGGCAGCAAACCATGTGTGACACCGACGCTGAGCAGAGCTGCTCCTGGGCTTGGTGCACACGGTGGCCCAGGACACTGAACACGGACACAGAAGTCTGACAGCCGGGATGGGGTCAGCGCTCTCCACCCACACTGGGGCTTCAGTGGAGCTTACGTGAGCACTCTAGCTGGAAAGTGTCGGGGGGTTTCAACGGGGTGCTTGGAGAGCAGGGCTCACTGCATAGAGACAACCTGGCCTCATGGCAGGAACCCAGTTCTGCACCAAATGAGGCTGTGTCAGCACAAATCCCATCCTGATGGATGGGACATACCCGGGCATGCTCAGGGCTTAGGGGGACCATACCCACTGTACTGTCACTCCAGCCCAATCGCAGAGATCTCTGAGCAGCGGATTCTGACTCCTGGGCTGGCTCTGCGGGGACTTGAGAGGTGCCAGCCAGGCAGTGAGAGGCCCCGCCCAGCAGGAGTAACACCTCCTGCCCGCCCCTCCCCGGCAAGCACCAATCCTCGCAAGAACCACCCAAGCCGTTTAAGAAACACTCAAGACACAGACCGGGCTGGGCTTTATTGGACAGGCAGCCGGGCGGTACAGGTCGAGCAGGCAGAAGAAAGAGGGCAGGCCCCGGACCCCCCGCCATGGCATGCTCAGGCCTGCAGGGCCTCTGCCCCGGACAGCAAAGGCCCTGGGTCTCCAACTGTGACCGGAAGCGCAAAGTTTTCTCTCGTGAGAGAGAGGGCCAAAGGGGGGGGGGGATGCAGGAGGAATCAGACGCAGCGGGGACAACGGCGACCAGGAAAACTCTCCTGCCGCCCTTGTCTGCACCTGGACCGGCTCCCGGCTGGCAGAGGTGCGGCTTTGGGTCCAGTCCTCAAGGACCAGAGCTTCCAGCCAGCGGGGACCAACTCAGCCCTGCAGGGAGGGCTGAAGTTTCAGGGTCCAAGATTCGCAGTTCCTATGGCCTCGGGTGGGGGCCAGGAGGAGCAGAGGTTCCAACCCTACAGGAGGGCAGGGGGGTGTCCCCCCCTAGGTGAGCTCCACGTTATTGGCGCGGTCCAGCACGCGGGACCCGCGGGCATTGCCCCCCAGCTGGAAACGGCTCTCGTAGAGCGTGGGGCACAGGTGCCAGCGGTTGGCGCGGTAGATGCCCAGGTAGGTGTAGACATCAGGCTTGTAGGTGAGCAGACACTTGACCCCCGCCGCGCGGATGGCGGCGTCCGCCTCCAGCACGCCCAGGCGCTCCGTGAAGTCGTCCGTGTACACGCAGATCACCTGGCGCCCCCCCCTCCTTGGAGCGGGGGCTCACTTTGGCCACCTGGAGCCGGCCCTCCACCACGGCCCGGGCAATGCCCGCCCAGGCGTGGTCCAGCTTGAAGCCCGGGGCCAGATGCATCAGCCACTTGCCCGAGAGCACCTGGTGGGTGATGGCCAGCTGCCGCAGGGTGCCCGGCGTGATGGGCCGCCCGCCCGTCTGCAGGGCCTCCCAGGCCGCCTGCAGGCCCTGCACGTCGCCGGAGTTGGGGACGTAGCCCCGCCCGTAGGCCGCAATCCAGCCCACTGGCTCCGAGTTGGGCGAGCCGGGCTCCCCGTAGCGGGTGACTTGGGACGGTGGGTACTTGGCCAGCCAGGCATCCAGCTCCGTGGCAGGGGTGGTCCGGGCGTCAAACACCAGCCAGGGGTCCATGTCGGCCGCCATGGCCTCCGCGGCCAGGTGCTCGGCGGTGAAGCCGTCCTCCCGGCCGCCGGGGGAGTCCTCCTCCTCGGGCTCCTCGCCAGGCTCCATCCTGCAGGAAGGGGTCCCGGTCAGCGCGGCGGCCCGGCCCGGGCCAGGCGGGGGCGCCCCGTGCCTCAACTGCCCTGCGTGTGCCAGGCGCCCGCGGGGGGCGAGGGGCGCCGTCCGGCCGGCCCCGCAGCCCGGGGGGTGCAGCCCGCGGGGCGCGGACAAGGTCGCGGCCGGGTGGGCCCGGGTGGGCCCGGGCGTGCGTGGCCCGGCGCGGCGGGTCCCACCCCCGGCGGCTCGCCGCAGCCGCGCAGCCCGAGCGCCGGGCCCCCGCGTGTGCGCGGCGGAAACCCCCCCACGGCGGCCGCGGCGAGGGCCCCGAGAGGCCGGGGCGAGGCCGGCCCGACCCCCGCGCGAGCGCTGCCCCGGCCCCCGCCCGCCGCCATTAGCCCCCGCCCGCCCGCCCGCCCGGCCCGCGGCCGCGCCCGGCCCGCTCCCGCCCGCCGGCCCGCCTTCACCTCCGGCCCTCGCCGCGCTCCGCGCCGGTCCAGCCCCGGCCCCGGCCCCGCTCCTGCCGGGGCTCCGCCGCGCCGCCGCGCCCCGCCCCCGCCCCCGCCACGGCCGCCGCCGCCGCCGCCGCCGCCATCTTAGCGTCCGGCGGCCTCAACAACAACTTTATAGACAAGCGCAGCGCGGGGCGGGGCCGGGCGGGCCGCGGGCGGGGGCGGGGCCGCGGGAGGAGGGCGGGGCCGCGGCGGGAGGGCGGGGCCGCGGCGGGAGGGCGGGGCCAACGTTCGCTCTTCAGGCCTTGGGGCCGGGCCCGAGTGGTGGTCCAGGCCCGGACCGGCGCGCACGGCCCCGGGAGGCTGCGGAGGGGCGGGCGCTCGGGCCAGCGAGCGGCGCGCTGCCCGGCGGCGCTAGGACCTGCGGGGAGCGGCGGGGGCGGAGCGGGCGGCGCCAGGACCCGGGCCGCGCGGCGGGCGGCGAGCAGGCCCGGGCCCCGGAGGCTGCGGGCGGCGGCGGCGCTGGGCCCGGCGCGGCGAGCGAGGAGGCGCCGCGATGCCGAGCAAGAAGAAGAAGTACAACGCGCGGTTCCCGCCGGTGAGCACGTGGCCGGGCCGGCCCGGGGGCGCGGGCGCGGGCGCGGGCGCGGCGGCCGCCCGCACGCTCGGGCCCGGCCGGCCGGGGGGCGGCGGCGGCGGCGGCGGCGGCGCCTAGGGGGCCCGGACGCCCCGCCCCCCGGGCCCGGTCCCCCTCCCCGCCCCCCGCGGCCCCCGCCGGGCCCCGGGTCCGAGCCCTCTGGCCCTCCCGCAGGCGCGGATCAAGAAGATCATGCAGACGGACGAGGAGATCGGGAAGGTGGCGGCAGCCGTACCTGTCATCATCTGTATCCTGGCCGGGGGCCGGGGGCCCGGGGGGCGGGGCGCGGGGGAGGCGGCCGCCCGGGACCCCCACGCGCCGCCCGCGTTCTCCTTGACGGCCCGCAGCCCGGGCGCTGGAGCTCTTCCTGGAGTCGCTGCTGAAGAAAGCGTGCCAAGTGACCCAGTCCCGCAACGCCAAGACCATGACCACGTCGCACCTGTGAGTGGCCCTGGGCAGGGGCGGCGGCGGCGGGGCGCCCGGGGTCCTGGCCTGCGAGCCCACCTGCCGCCCGCCCCCTCCAGGAAGCAGTGCATCGAGCTGGAGCAGCAGTTTGACTTCTTGAAGGACCTGGTGGCCGCGGTGCCCGACATGCAGGGGGACGGCGAAGACAACCACATGGATGGGGACAAGGCTGCCCGCAGGTGGGGACCAGGGCCCCCGGAGGGGGGGACGGCCCGAGGGGGCGACCCGGGGCAGGGGCATTGATTGTCCCTCGCGCCAGGGGCCGGAAGCCTGGTGGCACTGGCCGGAAGAACGGCGGCGTGGGAAGCAAAGGCAAGGACAAGAAACTGTCCGGGACCGACTCGGAGCAGGAGGTGAGCACACGCTGCCGTCCAGGCCAGGCCGAGGCCAGGTCAGCTGCTCCGGGGGTGGCCTCCGCCCGGGCTTATCACCTCTGACCCTTGCCTGGCCCACAGGACGAGTCCGAGGACACAGACACGGAGGGGGAAGAGGAGGCGCCCCCCGCCCCGGCTCAGCCCACCAACCCCCCTGCCCCCTTTCAGAGGTGAGCGGTTCGGACACCCCGAGAAGGCTCGGTTGGCGGGGGAGGGCGGATGTGGGGACGGGATGAGGACCAAGGGCGCCTAAGGGGAGAATGACCCAGCCTTGTCTCCTTGTTCCTCCGCCACACCCCCCCACACGCCCCCCCTTGCGCCAGGTCACTTGCTCTGGGGTGCGGGGTACCTGGACAGAGCCTGACCCTCTCTCCTGCCTTCTGTCCTGCAGCCCCCCGACGCCCTTCCTGCCCTTCAACTCGACTCTGCCGCTGCCCCCAGCGCCCCCGGGCCCCTCAGCACCCAACGCAGAGGACGAAGAGGATTATGACTCCTAGCGCCCACCGCCCCCCAGGCCGCACCCCCTTTTAGTCGGTTTTAGTTGCTCTGGGGGGAAGAGAGAGGCTAGAGCTGTTCTTAAGTTTATTAAAATTTATTAAAAAAACCAGAAAGAGAGAAAAGGAAGGTGCCAGTGTCGTGCCAGTCTCCGTCCCGGCTGGTTGTCGCCCTCCACCGGGTTTCCTCTCTGGGACCCCCAGGAGCCCCAGGACCCCACCGGGAGAGGCTTAAGCGCGCGTGTCCGTCTGCACTGCCTCCTCTTCCAGCCGCTCTGGGCTGCCGCGAAGGGCCAGGCAGCAGATGGGCCTGTAAGGCGGTCGGACCCGGAGCCCAGCCGGGCCGTGAGTGAGGGGCGGGTGGGGGCAGGCGTGGCCGCAGCTCCCAGCACCCCTGTGGCCTGGCGGGGCCCTGAGGACAGGGGCAGCGGGGTCAGGGACCGGGGCAGGCCAGATGGGGGCTGGGGTCCCCCAGGACACCCATATTTCTTTCCACAGAAGCTTGGGCAGGGCTGGGCAGTTTTCCAACTTGGTGGCGGCGGTCACAGGAGAAGGTTACAAGTTTATGGCGAGTCAGGGGGCTGGGCGGGGTGGACGCTTGGTCGAAGGGCCTGGGGACAGGAGGGTGAATCTGGACAGGGGTGCCCTTGCCTGAAGGGGCGAGAGCCTGGAGGACCAGGAAGGGGACTCAGAGCCCCCACATGAAGCCCCCACCACTGCTAGCTCAGCAGCTGTGGGGCTCCAGCCAAGCTGCCTATGAGGCCTGGGGTGGCTAAGGTGTGAGAGAGGGGGGCTAGCCCTGGGGGCAGAGGTGAGGACAGGTGGGCTGGGGGCTCGTGAGCCCCAGGACCTGGACGGCAGCAATGAAAAGGGCGGCCAGGAGCTCGTGGTAGGACACTTGGGGGTCCCAGTGGGGGCCTGGGGGGAAGGGCAGGCCACACCCGCGCTGCTTCCACCCAGGGGTGCGCCTGATGAGGGAGGGGCCACGGGGCACGGCCTAGGCTGGCTCTGAGCCGGCATTCCCCAGACACCAACCTAGAGCCCTTGGTTTGTGTCTCCGGGAACTGAAGGGCCACTGGGCTTGGGAGGCCGTTCTCAGAGCAGCCAGTAGGGGGCAGTCAGCACTGTGGGCCTGTGCAGCTGGCTGGGGTTGGTTTTCATGGTGAGATTCCAGTGGAGAAGGCACTGGCATGCCAGACCCCGGTTCGATTCCCAGTATCGCATATGGGTCCCCAAATCCGGCCAGGAGTAAGCCCTGAGCATCGCCAGATACGACCCTCCCAAAGCAAAAAACAAGTGAAGGTGCAATTCCGTCCATTTGTTTCTGACTTGGGGGCCACGTGCTACTATCCTGGAGGGCGGGGCTGGGTGGGGAACCAGGTTGTGAGTTCAATCGTGGGAGTGTTTGGTGGCTGGGACCTGACAGCGACGGGCGGACAGGGATGGGGCCACAGGCTGGTCAGTAATCAGTGACCTTTTTTTTTTTTTTTCCACAGTGTCGGTTGTTACAGAAATCGTTGAAGGGTGGGGGTACACATAGGTGGGGCTGAACATTATAACAATAAACAGATGTGAAGCCCTTTTTTTAGGGGGAGTTCTTCTAGGAGATTAACTCAAGGACAAAATCTCCTCTGGGGCTAGCACTCTAGATTACTAGGAGATCCGCTCAAGGACAGGATTCTATCTAGGGTTTCTCCTTTCCTTGGTAATTCATTTATTTCTCGTTTTGTATGAACATAGTAAGAGGTATATTAAGCTTAATGATGGCTCCTTCTGGGGACATCTTGCTGTATATCCCAGACTAGAGTCTTCAAGCCAGGTTAGTCTTTCCTAACCCCAGTAGGGTCCCAGTAGGGTCCTTATTCAGTTACTTCTTTTTTGGATCATGACAATTTATTCTGTGTCCATGCTCTTATACTTTAAAAAATTTTTTTCCACTTTATTTTTAAAATTTGTATTTATTTTTTAAATTTATTTATTGCTTTTTGGGTCACACTCGGCAGTGCACAGGGGTTACTCCTGGCAGTGCTCAGGGGACCATATGGGATGCTGGGAATCGAACTCAGGTCGGCTGCGTGCAAGGCAAACGCCCTCCCCGCTGTGCTATTGCTCCAGCCCCGTTTCTTATGGCTCTTTTTGGTGCCAGGGTAGCTTACAGCTTGCCCTGGGTCCATCCATGTCCCTCACTGGAACCCTCCTTTTGGGGGTGTTAGGAAGGAAGGGCAACTGGGGCTTAAGCCAAGTAAATATGATGGATGCCCAAGAGAAAATATTCGGCGTCAATTAACTTACAAAAGTATCAACTGTCTTCCTGTGTCTACACAAAAAGGACATTGTTAAACCAGGCAAAGGACAAAAAGGAAAGCACTGTAGCACTGTCCTCCCGTTGTTCATCGATTTGCTCGAGCGGACCCAGTAACGTCTCCATTGGAGACTTTGTTGTTAGTGTGTTTGGCATATCGAATACGTCTTGGGTAGCTTGCCAGGCTTTGCTGTGCGGGCGAGATACTCTTGGTAGCTTGCCGGGCTCTCCGAGAGGGGCGGAGGAATCGAACCCAGCTCAGCCAGGCCGGCCGCACGCAAGGCAATATAGAATTAGGGGTGCCTGATGGAATTTGTTGTGCTCGGGAGCACTGTGGTGGGAGTAACTCAATAAACCTAAGCTTCCTGTGGGAGGAGCAAGGACAAACCAATGTTGCCCAACACAGGTGGTGCCAGAGGGCCCCCCATGAGAAGCATATACCCAGAGCTGCTCCCCGGGCTCCGAACCAAGGGGGTGAGGAGATACTCAGGGGCCCCCAGCACTGCACCCCTGCTGGTGCTTGCCCATACTGGGCTACGGTGCACAGAAATCACTTCCTGCATCGGGGAAAATGAAGGCTCAGCAGCCAGGGTCACAGCGTATGCAGTGTGGGGGGGTGACTGAGGCAGGCGCGGGCAGTCTCTGAAGTGTCCCTCTGGGCAAGGGCCCTGTTGCTGCGGAAGGGAAAGATTCTGGGGCTGCTTTGGGGGGCCAGACGCTGGGGGGGCCCCATCCCCTCTGTTGCTTCCCCCTGCTCCAGCTGGTTTGGGCTACAGGACCCCAGTGGCCCTTGGGGAGGACGGTCCAGCCTCTGTTCACTTGGTTTTTCATGGTTCCGTGGGGTCAGTTCCTGGCCAGGTGGACTGTGGGGTCTCCGGGGAAAGGTCTCCTGGGCACCCACAGCTGGCCACCGGGCAGTGCACACCTGCAGAGGGCGGCCTGCGAGTGTAGCCACTCTCCTGCCATCCTGTAACCAAGGGATTGAGCCTTGGCTCAGCCTTGGCTGTTGCGCGGTGTGAGGGGCACGGGGGAAGCAGCGTGGAGCTGCCCTTGGGAGAGTGGGGGGGCCTGAGGGGACGATGTGGATGGGGGGCTGGCATGGCTGTCGGGGGAGTGAAGAGTGGGGTCCAGGAGCCAGCGTGTCTGTGGGGAGAGTGTGGAATTTGTGCATCTTGGGGCTGGAGTGATAGCACAGCGGGGAGGGTGTTTGCCTTGCATGCAGCCTGACCCGGGTTCGATTCCAGCATCCCATATGGTCCCCTGAGCAAGGCCAGGAGTAATTCCTGAGCGCATGTACCAGGAGTAACCCCTGTGCATCACTGAGTGTGACCCAAAAAGCAAAAAATAAAAGGAAATTTGTGCATTTTTTTGGGGGGGGGTTGGGTTTTGGGGCAATTGACAATGCTCAAGGGTTACTTCTGGCTCTGCACTCAGGAATTATTCCTGGTGGGCTCAGGGGACCCTATGGGATGCCGGGAACCAAACCCGGGTCAGCCACATGCAAAGCCAGCGCCCTCCCCACTGTGCTATCTTACCTGGGCCCTGGACTAGTGTGATTCTGAGGGGTTATCAAAGTCCATCCCTGCCCCCGACCTCCAGCACCCCAGACGCTGGAAATGGGAAAGTGCTGTCCCCCAGGGCTGGAGAGGAAGCTCCATCCCCCCACATGCACATGGGGGGCAGGCACACGCAACCCCACTCCTGCTGTCTGCCAGGGTTCATCACCCCAAAACCCAGGAGCAGATGTCCCTGCCCCCTCCCCCCACCAAACATGCCAGACGCTCTTGGAGAGCCGGTGCAGTGACGGGAGTAGGCGGCTGTCACCAGCTGGGCCTGTGTCTTGATGTGGGTATAAACCAGACATTGCTCCCCACTCGAGAGCGAGCGAGGAGTCGGCGGGGCAGAGGCACCTGCTAGAAATCACAGCTGGGCTAGGGGAGAAAGCTCAGGGTCAAAACCCTGTTTTGCATGTCTGAGGCCTGAATTTCCATCCCCTGGGACCACACACTCACACACACACACACACACACACACACACACACACATACACGTCATCTGAGTGAGATGTATTTGGGAACTTGAACTGGGTGGTGATTATATACTAAGTTTTTTTTTTGTTTTTTGTTTTTTGTTTTTTGTTTTGCGTCATACCCGGCGATGCTCAGGGCTGACTCCTAGCTCTGCACTCAGGAATCATTCCTGGCGGTGCTCAGGGGACCATATGGGATGCTGGGAATCGAACCCGGGTAGGCCGCATGCAAGGCAAACGCCCTACCCACTGTGCTATTGCTCCAGCCCCACATACTAAGATATTAAGCTTTACAAAGGGAAGGGCATGGAGAGTATCAAGCCGAGTGAGATGAGTCAGAAGAGGGACAGACAGAATGATTGCATAATAAAATTTAAAAAGCACCTAGTATGAGTCTAATACCCAAGGACAGTAGAAACAGGGGTGAGGAGGATTGGTTCACAGTTGGAAGCCTGACTCAGGTGCTGGGGGAAAAGGCAGCTGGGCTAGAGAAGGGACCACTAAGGCAATGATAGTTGGAAGTGACCGGTCTGGATAGGAACTGCATGCTGAAAGGAGGAAAAGGAACAAACAGGATAACCTCTCAGGATCTGTGTTGCAGACCACGGTGCCCAGGAAGAGAGGAAGAGAGAGAAGAAAAGTGCCCGCCATAAAGCCACAGAGGCAGCTTGGGGGCGGTGGCAGAGGGAAATTAGGGTGATTGGTGGTGGGAAATGGGCACTGGTGGAGGGATGGGTGTTGGATCATGTATGACTGAAACCTGATCATGAATAGCTTTGTAACTGTGTATCTCACCGTGACTCAAAAAAAAAATTTAAAGAAAAAATATTAAGCTTAGGTACTTCTTGTTTGTTTTAGGGCCACACACAAGAAAGTGCTCAAGGCTTACTCCAGACAGGACTAGAGGGACCATATGGGGTGTTGGGGATCGAATCTGGGTCAGCCACAAGCAATGCAAGAGCCCTGCCCATTGCCCTGTACTATTTCTTCTGCTCTAGTAAAGTTTTGTTTTGGGGCCACACCTGGTGGTGCTCAGGGCTTACTCCTGACTCTGTGCTCAGGGATCACTCCTGGAGGCCTCGGGGGGACCATATGGGGTGCTCGGGATCAAACCCGGTTTGGCCGCATGCAAGGGAAGTGCTCCCCAAAACGCAAAAAAATAAAAATCAAAAACCATAAGACGCCATTGGGCGGGAGAGCCAGCGAGCACTTGCCTCATGTGCACTGACCCTGGATTGTTTCTCCAGGTACCATGTATGGTCCCTGAGCACTGCCAAGGAGAGCCCTGGGCAGTCAGGAGCAAGCCCTGAGCACTGCTGGGCACTGCCTAAAAACAAAAACACAACAAGTCAGAGAGAGCTCAAAGCACTGGAGGGCCTGCCTTGCGCACGGAGTCCCGGGTTTGATCCCTGAGCCTGGGTACCGCCAAGGGTGCCCCCCTCAAAACCCCAAAGCAAACTATCACAGGGTCTTGGCTGTTCATGGTTTGGGTTTTTTTTTTTTTTGTTTGTTGTTTTTGCTTTTTGGGCCACTCCCAGCGATGCTCAGGGATTACTCCTGGCTCTACACTCAGGAGTTACTCCTGGCGGTGCTCAGGGGACCATATGGGGTGCTGGGAATCGAACCCTGGTCGGGCGCATGCAAGGCAAATACCCTACCCGCTGTGCTATCACTCCAGCCCCCATCACTCAACCTTTAACAACGTGTTAGTGATATTCTAAAGAACGTCTTAATGGCCCCTGCCAAAATAGAACAATCTTCACACTGTTTCCTCTATGGATACTTTTTTGTAACATTTTCAGCGGCTTTTCATAACAAACAAGACAAAATATATTTTTTCGGTTGTGCTTTGGGACAAGGATTGGGACTTGGGATGAAAACATCCCAAATATGGTGGTGGGATTGGTGTTTGAATATTGGATGTGATCAAATATTGTGAACTGCAATGTTACTGGGCCCACTCTAGCAAATCGATGAACAACGGGAGATCAGTGACAGTGACAGTGACAGTGACCTTGTAAAAAAAAAGTCAGAGGGGCTGGAGTGATAGCACAGCGGGTAGGGCGCTTGCCTTGCACACGGCCGACCCGGGTTCGATTCCCAGCATCCCATATGGTCCCCCAGGCACCGCCAGGGATAATTCCTGAGTGCATGAGCCCGGAGTAACCCCTGTGCATTGCCGGGTGTGACCCAAAAAGCAAAAAAAAGAAAAAAAAAGCCAGAAAGAGAGTCCAGTGGATTGGGCCCTCGCTTTTTCGATCTCTGGTATACACGGGGTCCCCCAGACATCTCTGGGTGTGACCCTGGAGGGGCCCAAGCCCTATGGGGTGACCCAGGCAATCTCTAGCACCTCATCCTTGAACCCTGGCATCCAGCCATTGATCCAGTTGGCCAAGAAACTCCTGACAGAGCCTCAGATCTCCTGAACCCGGCTTGGTAAGTCCCAAACAGGCTACAACAATGAAGCCAGGGGGTGCAGAGTACAGCGGGGAGGGCATTTCCCTTGCATACAGCAGACCCAAGTTCAGTTCCCGGCATCCCATAGGGTCCCCCGAGCACTTCCAGGGGTAATTCCTGAGTGCAGAGCCAGGAGTAACCCCTGAGCATCGCCACGTGTGACCCAAAAAGCCAGACAGAAAAAAATATGTGGCCAAGATGGGGTCTGGGGTTGGGGTAAAAGCACTCATGTGGGACCCCTCACCTCGAGAAGCCTCCCCCGGGGAGCAGACAGGGTGGGAGTGAGGCAGCGAGGCCGCAGGGCACAAGCCGGGAGGGGAGAGATGGGCCAGCGGAACCTCAGAGGGCAGAGCAGGGAGCCCGGGCCAGCTATGGGCCTGCCGCAAGGTGCCACCAAGAGAGGGGACAGAGGTAGCACCAGCGGGACCATGGGAGGGGTGTGAGCACCGCTGAGGAAGTGGGTTCAAGGGAGAACGGGGGAGGGGAGGAGCCACAAGGGAAAGTGAGGCCAGATGGGGGTGGCGGACAGAGTAGCGGGGTTAGAGGAGCACCCACACATTCATGCTGACAGTGACTCATCGAGAATGAGGGTGCTAGTAGACAGTAGGCAGGGCGTTTGCCTTGCACACGGCAGTTCTTCGAACCCTGGCATCCTACAGGGTACCCCGAGCACCGCCCGGACTAATTTCCGAGTGCAGAGCCAGGAGTAACCCCTGAGCATCCCCGGGTGTGGCCAAAAGAAATAAAAAGGAGGGGGAGGGGACTGGAGCAATAGCACAGCGGGTAGGGCGTTTGCCTTGCACGTGGCCGACCAGGGTTCGATTCCCAGCACCCCATAGGATCCCCTGAGCACCTTCAGGAGTAATTCCTGAGTGCAGAGCCAGGAGTGACCCCTGAGCTTCGCTGGGTGCAACCCAAAAAGAAAAAAAAATGGAGGGGGAGGGGAGGGGGTTTAACAGCTTCTGGAGCTGTGCCACTAGCCAAGCTCTGATGAAGAGATGGGGAGGACGGGGGGGTGTCCCAGTGCTCCTCAGTCTGAGGTGACACTCAGCAGAGTTGGAAGAGGGGGATGTGGGGGCGCCGGTGGAACATTCCAGGCAGGAATGTCTGGCGCCAGGAGCCAGAGCGATAGGACAGTGGGAGGCACTTGCCTGGCATGTGGCCAACCCTGGTTCCACCTCTGGTTCCTCATAACATCCCCCAAGCCCCTCGAGGAGCGATCCCCAAGCACAGAGCCAGGAGTAAACCCTGAGCACTGCAGGGTGTGGCCCCAAACCAACCAAATCCTGCCCCCCCCCCAATAGAAACAGCAGGTGCCAAGGCCCAGTGCTAGGGCTGACAACTGAGTTGTAGGAGCAGTGGGTGGGCAGGGCCATGGGGACCCGCAGTTGAGGGGACAGTGGTCACATGCTGCCCAGCAGGTGGTGGTGAGGACGGGTGTTCACTCTGAAAAAGGGGACGCGTGGGGGGCTGACTGGCTCCAGTCCTGGGGTTCACTCATCCTGGCTGCTGAGGAGGCAGAAATGGGGGCAGGGGTTGGGGAGCCTCTGCAGGGACCCGGGGCACATACCCGGGGCTAGGGGGAGGGAGGGAGAGGGGGTGCAGGGGGGCAGGAAGGGAGCCCCCACAAGGCTGCTGTGGCCGAGCCATGTGGTGGACAGCGAGTCTAAAGGACGCTATGGCCGACAGCGAGACTGACTTTCAGCTCCTCAGTTTGGGTGTGAGTCTTGGCCTTGGTGTGGGCTCCAGAGTTGAAACAGGAAACTGGGCACCGCAGGGAGGTGGTGACGCCTTCGGAGGCAGCTGAGCAGCGTGAGTTCCCTTGGCGGGGGGGGGGGGGGGGGGGGGGGCAAGGTTCCCCAGACCCCTCATCCTGCCATCCCACCTGCAGGAGCACATGGCCGGGGCCTGTCCACGGGTCGGGGTCTCCAGGGGAGGGGGTCCCGCACCTCCAGAATGGAGCAGCAGTGCCGCCTTCCCGCGTGTCAGGGCAGGGAGAGGCCGCAGGCTCAGGGCTCGAACTCGGGCTGGGTCTGGGCTGTCCCTTGAGGCCACCTCCAGGCCGCCCAGAGCTGCACCTGTCCCTCAATTTACCTTGGGGACCCGCACTTGGGGGCACTTGCCCTGCTCTGAGTGTGACAGGGAGCAGGACCAGCCTGGGTATGACACAGCGGGGAGGGAGGAGGGAGGAGTCACAGTCACAGAGTGGCCGTCCTGGTGACCCCAGCATCCAGGCTCGATGAGGGGGGGGTGGCTCTGCCCTCCTGGCCCCCCACAGGCCACAGCGGGCACAGGTGATCTAGCACAATCCTGGTCCGGGTTTGGGCCACCTCCCCACAAGGCCGCAAGATGGTGGGATCACCAGGGAGGGACGGGCTTGCCTTTCTCTGCATCTGTGGTGTGTCCCCGTGAGACCCAGGTTCCTGATGGGGGCGGGGACTTACTCCTGGGGGAGCCTGGGGGATGGGAGCGGGCTCCGGATCCTTCCTCAGCTTCCTTCTCCCTGAACTGTTCTCCCTTCTGTGGCAGGCCCGCCCCCCCCCCACACTTCCATCAGGGCTGGGGCTCGGTTGCCATAGAGACGGGCTGGGTGTTGGGGTTCCAAGGCGGGCAGCTGGGGGCAGGGGCGAGACACACAGTATGTTAAACTCACAACAACAGTTGGTCAAGGTATCACCCAGTAGGCCGGCGCCGGACGCTCGCGCTCAGCAGCCGTCCCCAGTGATGACCAGGGGCCTGCTCAAGCTTCTGTCCAGCATTCTGCAGTACGAGCAGGTGAGGGCGCCCCTGGGGGGGGGTGGGCACCAACTGCCCCGAGGCAGGCCGGCCAGCTGGGCCCAGACTCACCCAGAGATGCTAAGAGGTCCATGGTCAAGGCTCGGGAGAGCCGGAGAGCAGGGGCGGGGCAAAGGGAAGTGGGCAGTGGACGAGGGGCCTGGACAGGGAGAGGGGGTGGCTAGACTGTGGGCTGTCCCCGACCCAGAGGCCAGAGTGCAGAGCTGACACAGTGATGGGGCCCGTTGGCGAGACTCCCCCTGTCCTGTCTGAGCCTCCGGGTGAGCAAGGCGGTGTGTGTCCGCGGAGTCCCCTCAGAGCCACGCGGGTTCCTCAGCCCAGATGTGAGGGCCCGGCCAGTGCGCCTCACACGCGCTTCTGTGATCTCCTGAAGGTCATTTGAAATAACCTAGAGATTTTGATTTGCTCTGATTTTTCCCCCTTTTTTATTAAGCCGCTGTGATTTATGAAGTTACTCACAGTTTCCTCCTAGTTGCGTTTTAGGCTTCCGCTGTTCCAGCCCCAGTCCCACCACCAGCGTTCCTGTTCCTCCCCACCTTCTCCTCCTCCTCCCTAGAGATCTGTATGTAAAACATTTTTAGGGGCCGGAGGGATAGGACAGCAGGTAGGGGGTTTGCTTTGCACGCAGCCAACCCAGGTTCGATCCCCAGCATCCCAGATGGTCCCGCCGGGTCCTGCCAGGAGTAATTTCTGAGCACAGAGCCAGGAGTAACCCCTGAGCATCCCTGAATGTGCCCTTCCAAATGTCCCTGCACCCTGTACGGTCCCTTGAACCCCGCAGGGTATGGCCCCCCTGAAAAATACCAAGAAAGGGAGGCAGGACTTGGGAGGTGTCTGTTAGGGGCTGGTCCAGGAGGCTGTGTGACAGGGCCTCCTCTCCTGTCCCACCTAGGGGGGCCTGGGGAGCCGCGATGTCACACGTGGCGGCCCACAGTCGAGGTCTCGGAGTCTGGGCCAGACGGCGAGGGAGCGGAAGGGCAGGGGCCACCACAAGAAAGGCCACAGCCGTGCCAAGGCCGAGTGAGCAGGCGGGCTGGGCCGGGAGGGTGCAGGCGGGCAGCGCCCAGGCCCTGACTCCTCTCCCTCCTCAGCCTCTGCCCTGCAGCACCCCGGAAGCCCTCCTTCCCCTTCCAGTGGGCCTGGGAGAGCCGGGCTTTGCTGCAGTCCGGCTCCTCGCACCCCGGCCTCCACATCCCGCCTGTAGCCCTCGAGATGCCCCAGCGCCCGCCCAAGCAGAAGGCCACCATGCCCAAGCTCCCGGTGGCCCACGCCACTGGCTGGAGGCTCAAGGTGCCCAGCGCCGAGAGGAAACCCGCCGCTCCCAGCCCAGCCCAGAGCCAGGGGCTGGAGCTGCCCAGGAAGAAGGCCTGGCTCGGCCGGGAGTCGGACGACGACGGCCTCAGGGAGCTGCCCCGGCTCCCCAGGAGGGGACCCGCCGTGGAGGAGGCACAGGCTGCAGAGGCCCCAGAAGAGGCTGAGAGTGAGGGGGAGAGGCCCACCAGCGCCGGCCGCCTCCAGGGCCCGCAGCAGAGGAAGGTCAAGGCCAGGGACGTGGACAGACTCTGGCACCTGGAGAAGCCGCACAGGCAGCGACAGCGAGACTCGACCCGCGGTGAGTGCGGGCCCAGCGGCCCGTCCAGTGGGAGGAGGGCCGGCTGGCTGGGCCCCCTGCAGGAGGGAGAGCTGGGCAGCGGGGAGCCCCTGACGCGGCCCGCTGTGGACAGGCGCCGAAAAGCAGTCCCGGAAGGCCCTGCAGGCACTCCTCAACGCCTCCAAGCAGACGGGCAAGGGCCAGGCCTGGGGAGACAGAGAGGCCTCCCTGTACGTCAGTGTGCCCACTCGAACCTTCCACAAACGGCAGGAGGCCACCAGGTAAGGCAGGAGGAGGCAGAAGGGAGCCCAGGGCTAGGGAAGGGATCAGTTCTCCAGGACATGCTTGGTATATTCCCCCTCGGTTTCATTCTTCCATGCCTCCACTCACCAATTCTTCCGGTCATCTCATCACCCATCCATCCATCCATCCATCCACCTACTCATCCATCTACCTACTCATCCATCCACCTACCCATCAATCCACTTACTCATCCATCTATCCATCCATCCTCCTACCTACCCATCCATCCATCCATTCACCTACCCATCTATTCACTCATCCATCTACCTACCCATCCATCTATCCATCCACCTACTCATCCATCTACCTACTGATCCATCCACCCACCATCCATCCACTCACTCATCCATCTATCCATCCATCTACCTGCCCACCCATCCATCCATTCACTTACCCATCCATCCACTCACCCATCTATCCATCCATCCATCCATCCATCCATCCATTCTCCTACCCATCCATCCATTCTCCTACCCATCCATCCACTCACTCATCCATCCTTTTATACATCCACCACCCATCCATCCATCTATGCATCATTCACCCACATACCCATCCACCCATTTACTTACCTACCCTTCCATCTATTCCCCTATCCATCCACCCTTCATTCATCCATCTACCCATCACCCATTCCCCATCCATCCATCCATCCATCATTTAAATACCCACCCACCTCCCCATTGATTCATCCACTGATCTATTCATTTACCCCCCATCACCCTCTATCTATCCACCCTCACCTCCATTCATTCATCTTCCATCAGTATACCTCCCACCCATCCTCTCACCTCCCCACCCATCCCTCTATCCAAGTCTACTCACCCATCCATTAATCCATCCATCAACCTTCCCAGCCACGCACCCATCTGTTCATCATCCACTCCCCCATGCATCATCAACTCACCTGCCCATCCATCCACCCACCCATCACCACACACTTGCTCCGTCTCACACTAAGGCATGATGCTAGCACCTACCACATGGGGACTATAAAGCAAGATCTGCCTCCCTTCCTGCAGAAGAGCTGCAGGGTCAGGGGAAGTCAGCCGTGCCAGGGATACCCCGGGCACGTGCTCTGTGCTCTGGCCCGGGCTGCGGTCACTCTGACTGGGGGCACCTCACTGGCTGGCGCGGGTCCATCATGTCAGATTTCCTTGACCAACCCTCCAGGCCCTTGACTCAAGCTCTAGTCAGTCCATACTCTTCAAGTGTCCCCTGACTCCCGGCCAGCCTGACCCAGGACCTCCCGGGGTCTCCCTCCAGAAACCTCCTGCGGACACGGGAGCAGCAGCAGCAGCAGGAACGGCAGCAGGAGGAGCAGCGGCGGGCCCGGGAGCTGCGGGTCCAGCAGCAGGTGGCCCGGTGCCTGGCGGCCTACACCCCCAGGGCCAGCCGTGGCTGCGTGCCCGCCATGCAGAAGCTGGAGGAGCTGAGGTAGTGACAGCGGGCCTGGGGAGGGGGGTGTCAGAGGCTGCACGGCCGTGGGACCCAGCCGTCCCTTCCCCCAGGCTGAGCTTCTGGCCCTGTGGGGAGCTCGTGGCATCCCGTGACAGAGGAAGGACACTGAGTGCCAGGGTGAGGAGGGGTGACCCCGCACTGCCCACTGAGAGTGACAAACCCCAACAGGACCAAAAATAGTGATGGCCAGATAATAAAAATGAGAAAACTTCTATAAAGACAAGAGGGACTGGAGCCATAGGATAGCAGGCAGGGCATTTACTTTGCATGTGGCCAACCCAGGTTTGATCCTTGGCATCCCACAGGGTCCTCCAAGCACTGCCAGGAGTGATTCCTGAGTGCAGAGCCAGGAGTAACCCATGAGCATTGCAAGGTATGACCTGAAAGCAAAAAAACAACAACAAAAATTCCAAAACCAAACCAGATAATAGCAACAATTTCTGCAGCAGGTACCAAATAATGCCGGGTATGGTTTGGTGACAGTGCTCCAGTGACACAGTGCTCCTCCCTTGCAAGTGTGAGGCTGCAAGTTTGATCCCTATCAAACCCTGTGTTCTGCAGGTGGGACCGCAGTGGTACAAGAGCGTGCAACTGCTGGAGTGAACACAACTAGAGTTGTGCTAGCAGTTGGGCTAGGGGGTCCCTTCCCCCCCCAACCGCCTCGGCCAGTGAGTATCATGGCCAGAATGTGCCAGGGGACCAACCAGCGTGGTGCCCATCACGTGTGCAAGCTCAACAACTGGATGTGCACAATCCTGGTCATGCCAACAGCAGCAAGGGTGAATGATGCCCAACAAGGACTGAGAAAAAGCATGGAGCTTAAGGCACTTGCCTTGCACGTGGCCGACCAGGGTTCAACCCCTGGCACCAATTTTGGTCCCCTGAGTACCGAGTCGGGAACAGCTCCTGAGCACTACTGGGTGTGGATCCAAAAAAAAAAAGCAACAAAAAATAACACATAAAAATATTCTCAGGGCTGGAGAGAGAGCACAGCGGGTAGGGCATTTGTCTTGCACACGGCCGATCCGGGTTCAATTCCCAGCATCCCATATGGTCCCCTGAGCACCGCCAGGAGTAACTCCTGAGTGCAGAGCCAGGAGTAACCCCTGTGCATCGCCAGGTGTGACCCAAAAAGCAAAAAAAATTCTCTGTGCATCCTCATGCTGGCTTCTGTGAGTTTGAGGCTGGGCGTGCTGCCATGCGAAGTCCAATACGGCTCAGATTCGTTTCATTGACGAGAAACAATGAGTCCCAAAGGTGTTCAGTAATGCAGCATTACTTGAGGACCAGTGTTCATGTAAAGTCTCAGTGAGGACCGAGCAAAGTCGGTCTATTCTCCCCCGTGTCCAGCGACAGAGGAGGGTCCAGGGCCACCTGCTGCCAGTAGCCAGGATGAACCCGGCTCTCAGGGTTCTCCTAGTCTCTGCAGCTGCTCCTCCACGCACCTGTTTCTGAAATGCATGCAAGCTGGGTCCTGTGGCCGGGATGTGGCCTCTCCAGGGGGGCCAGATGCTTCGGGGGTGCTCTCACTTGCACCCAGCTCGTTTGCTGTTGTCCTCTCCCAAGTCCCGACCCAGAGAACATTGGCAAACAGCTCCTGTCCCCTGCCACCACCTCCACTTCCTCTCTGGAGGCAGAGGCCATGGAAGTAGCCACCAGGGTCCCTTGTGAGGGAAAAAGTAACAGAGCAGCCGACTGGGTTCTTGTCAGGGTCAGACAGGGTGAATGGGGCTTAGGGAATCCAGGGCAGGCGGGGACCAAGTGGCTTGTGGGGGCCGGGGCAGTGCCGTGTGCGGGCTCAGGCAGCCCCTGTCACCTGCAGGTGCCAGGAGCGGCAGCGCTTCACTGAATACCAGGCGGAGCTGCACGACATTCGCCAAAGGGTGCAGGCCCGGCCCTACCTGTTCCAGCAGGCCATGCAGGTGAGGGCCACCTGGTCCCCCCGGGGGGCCCTTGGGGCAACTGTCCACCAGCCCGTGCGAGAACCCCCATTTTCTCCGCAGGCCAACGCCCGGCTCAGCGTCAACCGGCGTTTCTCCCGGGTGCTGTCGGCTCTGGGGCTGGATGAGAAGCAGCTGCTGGCAGACGCGGACAAGAGGGACGTGGAGGACACAGCCAGGAACCCCAGGTGAGCCCTAATGCAGGGGGTCCCCACCTCCCACCACCACTGCGGGCCCTGGAGGGGTCCCTCCATTGTCACAAGCCCCCTGCCCCCCTCACCACTCCCAGGCTGAAAACGTCACTGGGAGCCTCAACAGACCCAGGCGGGGGCCTAACCTCAGTCCTGTCCTATGTACCCCAGTAGCCGGCCAGAGGATGGGGGACAGTGGGGCACCCCGGAAAGGGAGCTGAAGGTCACTCTCCCCACCTCCTGGAGGAAAGAAGAATCAAGTGGGCATTGTCCAAAGCCACAGACGTGACAGAGCCGAAGGCGGGGGAACCCTGCGGGCCAGCTGACCAGCACACACCAGCCTCCCCATGGCATGGACACTGAGGCTCGGTTAGGGGATGTCCCCTGCCCAGCCAGACAGGGACCCATGGCAAAAGTGACCACGGCCTTCTCCGTGTCTTTGTCTTTAAGGCGCCACAGGTCAGCAAAGCTGAAATCGGAACATTCTTCTCGGAGAGCCCGGAAGACAGAAGCCACCAGCAGACACTCGGCCCTCAGCCCAGACAGAGTCCAGCCTTGAGATAAATATTAAAGGCTTTATGGAAAACACAGAGTCAGCTGTTCCCGGGGAGGGGGCGGCGATGGTGCCAGCAGGCTCGGCCGTGCCCAAGCTCCCGTGGCGGTCACAGGTCACAGCCCCGCGCAGCCTCTGCTCAGGGACAGCTCGGCTCCCCCACCCAAGCCCAGCGCGGATGGGCCGGACTGGCCTCTGCCTTTCAGGGTGGGGCGCGTCGGGGAGGGGAGGAAAGGGTGACTCCCAGCCCCCCAACATCACACCCCGGCGGGAGACTGGCGCAGGGGCGAGCGCTGCGCAGGGGGGTGCGCCCCGTTAACTCGGCGATCCGGCCTCCAGCTCCCCCAAAGGGAAAACCGTGGCGGGGTCGGCCAACTGCGGGGCGTCAGACACGCGCTGGCTCCGGGGTTCGGGGCCCGGGATGCACCCCAACATCCGGCGGCCTCCAGCGCTGCGGGTCTAGCGCGCAGGGACCCCGCGCCTCGACCGGACCGAGGCGCGCGCCTGCGCACACGGACGCCGCCCGCCGCGCCTGCGCAGTGTGGCCGGCCCGTCTTCCCGTGAGCCTCCAGGGCCGGCTCCCCGGGAAACGGCGGAAGCGGCCGCTCTCGGCTTCCGGCAACACGACCCCGGCTGCCCCGCGACCCGGAAGTGTTCCCATTTTGCGTCGTCGGGGCTCGGCGGCGGCCGGGCTCGGGGTGGACGTGCCACCATGGGGTCGTCCAAGAAGCACCGCGGGGAGAAAGAGGCCACCGGGACGACGGCGGCGGCCAGCACCGGGGGCGCCCCCGAGCCGCCGCCGCGGCACCGGGAGCACAAAAAGCACAAGCACCGGAGCGGCGGCGGCGGCGGCAGCAGCAGCGGCGGCGGCGGCGAGCGGCGGAAGCGCAGTCGGGAGCGCGGGGCCGAGCGCGGCGGCGGCGGCAGCGGCGGGCGGCGCGGGGCCGACGTGGACAGCCGCGGCGGCGCGCACGGCCGGGAGCGCGGCCAGCCCGAGCCCTCGGAGCGCCGCGTGAAGCGGGAGAAGCGCGATGACGGCTACGAGGCGGGTGAGGGGCGGGGCCCCGCGCCCCCCGCGGGCGGGCCCGGGGGAGGGCCCCGGAGGCGCAGACGCACAGCAAAGCTCCCGTCCGCCGCCCCCCAGGCCGCAGGGTCGCCGGGGCCCGGCTACAGGGGCCCGGTGGGCTCTGCTGAGAACCTCGAACCCGGGACTGGAGAGATGGTCCAGACTTGCGTGCAGCCCGGGGTGCAGTTCCCCGTGAGCGCCGCCAGGGGTCACTCTCGGGCACTTCCGGGTGCAGCGGGCCCCCCCTCACCCGCCCCCCCCCGCCCGCCCACACACACACACACAAGCACACACACGCACACCTGCACCCGCCCGTGAAAGAGACCTGAGCTCAGGGCGGGAGAGGGCGCGCATGAAGTTTTGGGCTGGATCCTGGCGCCAGAAAAAAAGATGCGGAGTTGGCCTGGGGGGCAGTCGGGAGGAGGGGCTCGAGTCCCGCCTCCTCCTTCCGCAAACCCTGGAGACCTGATCCAGACCAGAGGGCCCGTCCTGGGAGGCGGGTGGGCGGCCGGGAGGGGACTCGGGGAACGGGGCGGACCTCGGGGTCGGCACGGGAAGCAAGAGTTGAGGTTGCCTCCCTTGGATCAGGGTCTCACTGGGGGTGTCTCGAGAAATGGAGGCATTTGGAAGAGAAGCGGGCTTGGGGCGAGCAGTGGGGGGGGTGGGGGGTGACGGCTGGCCCGTTGGAGACTCAGCGAACAGGCTTGAGAGTGAAGATCAGGTCAGAGAAAGGCCCCCGTGTGAGGGCAGGCACCCCCCGGGGCTTGCTGGCTCCTGTGTGCTGGGCTCTGTGTGAGGTTAGAAGTAGCAGCCACCAGCAGCGCCCACCTGCAGGTACCGCTGCCCACATGGCGGGTGGGGATGGAGGCGCCATGGCGTGGGGGTGGCCTGGGCCAACGCAGCGAGGGCAGGGGAGCAGGGGCGGTGAGAATCCAGCGTCTTCCAAGGAGCAGAGGGGTCCCGTGGGGTGCGGGAAGGGGCTGTGGACCCTGGCTCTGGCCGGGTTTCAGCTCGATATCTCTCTGCCCAGCTGCCAGCTCCAAGACCAGCTCCGGGGATGCCTCGTCCCTTAGCATCGAGGAGACCAAGTAAGGCGCCCCTCGCTCCTCCTGGCACGGCCTGTGGGAAGTGTTGGGATGTGGGGGGACCCTGGAGGACTCAGGAGGCGGGGTGGCTCGGTGTGGGGGAGCACGAGGACCCCCGTTCCTGTGGGTCCCTTCACACTGTCTTTCTCGCCCCCAGTAAACTCCGGGCCAAGCTGGGGCTGAAACCCTTGGAGGTCAATGCCGTGAAGAAGGGTGAGTGGGGACCGAGCTGGGGGGGGGGGAGGCTGGGGTGTCTGGGGGGGCAACACGGGACATGGGGGTTCACCGTAGCTGGGCCCGGGCTCCTGTGTGGTGTTTCCCAGACCTGTGGGAAGGAGACACGGGGGCCTCGCCCTGCCGGGCGGGGGTGTCAAAGGGCTCATCTCTGGAAGGGGTGCGGTGCGTGGCTCACTTCGGGGTCCTTCCAGAGGCGGGCACCAAGGATGAGCCCGTGGCGGCCGAGCTCATCAACCCCATGGCCCTGCGGCAGCGCGAGGAGCTGCGGGAGAAGCTGGCGGCGGCCAAGGAGAAGCGCCTGCTGAACCAGAAGCTGGGGTGAGGCCCGACCGCGCGGTGGCGGGGGGGGGGGGGGGTGCCTCGGCTCCCGGCCGCTCACCCTCCCCGTCCCCAGGAAGATAAAGACTCTGGGCGAGGACGACCCCTGGCTGGACGACACGGCCGCCTGGATCGAGCGGAGCCGGCAGCTGCAGAAGGAGAAGGACTTGGCCGAGAAGCGGGTGAGGGCCCGGGTCAGGGGAGGCCGGGCGGCGCCTGGGGGTCCCCCTCCCTGTTCCCTGAGGTCAGAGGCCACCCCGTTCTCCCTGCACCCCAGGCCAAGCTGCTGGAGGAGATGGACCAAGAGTTCGGCGTCAGCACCCTGGTGGAGGAGGAGTTCGAGCAGCGGCGGCAGGTGAGGCCCGGCTCTGTGGGTGGGTGACCCCCGGCCAGCTGACTGGGCGACGCCCCTGACGCGCCTTCCCCCCTCCCCCCAGGACCTGTACAGCGCCCGGGACCTGCAGGGCCTCACGGTGGAGCACGCCATCGACTCCTTCCGCGAAGGGGAGACGCTTATCCTCACGCTCAAGGACAAAGGTGGGGGGCGCGGCTGCGTGGGCGGCCGGGAGTGGGAGTGGGGGCGGCGCTGTGACGCGGGGACCTCCCTCCGCCCAGGCGTGCTGCAGGAGGAGGAGGACGTGCTGGTGAACGTGAACCTGGTGGACAAGGAGCGCGCCGAGAAGAACGTGGAGCTGCGGAAGAAGAAGCCCGACTACCTGCCCTACGCCGAGGACGAGAGCGTGGACGACCTGGCGCAGCAGAAGCCGCGCTCCATCCTGGCCAAGTACGACGAGGAGCTGGAGGGCGAGCGGCCGCGCTCCTTCCGGCTGGAGCAGGGCGGCCTGGCCGACGGGCTTCGGGAGCGGGAGCTGGAGGAGATCCGGGCCAAGCTGCGGCTGCAGGCCCAGTCCCTGTGCACCGTGGGGCCGCGGATTGCCTCCGAGTACCTCACGCCCGAGGAGATGGTGAGCCGCGCGGCCTCGCGCCCCGGGAGATGCTACCGCGTGGGCCTGGGCGGGGGTTGGGGGGCCATGTCCATGGCGGGAGTGGGGGAGGGGGTCCGTCCATGGCCGAGACTGGGGGCCTTGTCCGTGGCAGGGGCAGGGCACCATTGCAAGCACCCTGCCCAGTGGCCGAGAGCAGGACCCGGCTGGCCCCGGCTTTCCCGTGGGGGCGGCGTGCCCTGGTGCCCGGCCGCTCTGGGCCACCCGTCCCGCTGCCTGCCCGCAGGTGACCTTCAAAAAGACCAAGCGGAGGGTGAAGAAGATCCGTAAGAAGGAGAAGGAGGTGATTATGCGCGCCGACGACTTGCTGCCTCTCGGGGACCAGTCGCAGGACGGGGACTTCGGTTCCAGGTGGCCTTGACCCCGGGGGAGCGTGGGGATACCGCGGGGGCCGGGGAGAGGCAGCCGAGGGGCCGCGGCTCACCAGAGGGGCCTGTCCGCGCAGGGCGCGGGGCCGGGGCCGGCGCCGAGTGCCCGAGGCGGGCGAGGACCTCCCGGAGGAGGAGGAGAAGGAGCCCACCGTGCAGCTGCCGCAGTCTGACGACACCCGGGTGGAGAACATGGACATCAGCGACGAGGAGGACGCGGGCGCGCCGGCCCCCGCGTCCCCCGAGCCCCTGGAGGAGGACGAGGCAGAGCTGGAGCTGCAGAAGCAGCTGGAGAAGGGGCGGCGGCTGCGGCAGCTGCAGCAGCTGCGGGACAGCGGGGAGAAGGTGAGTGCGCCGCCCTCAGGCTGTTCTGTGTCGGGGTTCGAGGGAGCGTGCGGCGGCGCCCAGGTTTGGGAGTACTGGCACGGGTAGCTGACCCCTAGTGAGGCAGGCAGGGCCGGCCGTGGTCAGGAACACATGCCTAGTCGCCTTGGCTCCAAGACGGGCCGGCCTCCAGGGCACCCGGTCTGAGGTGGAGGGGTCGGAACTTCTCTTCGTGGGGTTGAGGCCTCCCAGGAGCACACAGTCTGCTCCTTTTTTTTTTTCTTTTTGGGTCACACCCAGCAATGCACAGGGGTTCCTCCTAGCTCTGCACTCAGGAATTACTCCTGGAGATGCTCGGGACCATATGGGATGCTGGGAATCGAACCTGGACCGGCCGCGTGCAAAGCAAACGCCCTACCCATTGTGCTATCGCTCCAGCCCCGGAGCACCCGGTCTGGAAGGTGCTCTGCTGTCTCCCGCTTTACAGATGAGCAAACTGAGGCACAGGGCTGTTAGGCAAGCTGCCCGTGGTTCCATGACTGGTGTGTGGCAGGGCAGAGGTTCGAAGGCTTTAACCCCAGAGGCCATGCGTCTCCCACACCCTCTATCTGGGGAGAGGGGACGCGAGAGCGGGTGCCCTGTGTGCGTGGGAAGAGGCGCTGCACGAGAGTGAGGTGGCTGGAGCAGCCGGCGGGTGGGGCGTCGGCCACCCCTAGAGGCTGGGGGCAGGAACGGGGTGAGGCGGGTAGACAAGGTGGCACTGAGGGTGCAAGCGGCCGCCTGAGACGGGCCGCAGACTCTTCCAGAAGGGCCACCAGGAATCTGAGGCTCGGGCTGAGCTCGGCCGTGGTGACTGTGTTTTCTGCTGGGGTAGCGGGAGCAAACACAGGTGACAGGTCCGTGACTGGCCATTGGCTGTTCCAGTAAAACTTTATTTACAAGCATAGGCGATGGGCTAGAGTTCAAGGAGCATAAGAGAAATGGGCAACGGGCCGGAGAGGTGGTGCAGTGGGCACTTGCCTGGCACTTGGCTGACCCGGGTTTAATCCCCAGCATCCCGT